AAAAAAAAAAAAAAACTAATAAATGCAGTCTTAGAGTTTGATTAACTTCTCTTGTAGTAGGTGGAGCTATGCCTACCAGGCCAAGCTACTCCTGTCAATACACGGGAACCAATCACTGTGCAGCAGCTCCTCCTCCCAGCTTGGGCGAGTCTCCAATCCTGAGTGCCTAGGGCCTCCTCTTGTGTCTAGTCACTTCCCCACTTTTCCTCTAGCCAGGCCCCTCTCACCGGTGACGCTCACCACAATACTGGCTACACGCTAGGTCTCCTGCTCCCGGGAGCCCTGTTTTCATGAACGACTGGGCACACTCTCCCTGTTTGCCATTCCCTCAGACCCTAAGTTTGTAGAGCTTGGGGCTGAGAATCCTCAGCGAATTTTACTTGCCCTCCGGTAGCCACGCCCCCGGTAGCTGGTGCAAGAGACCTCAGTTGTCAGCACTGGTGGGAGCGGTAGCTGGGAGTTCTGCGCCGCGGACCCGCGCCACTTCCGATTCCCTTGGTCTGGCTATCGCGCTCATGGAGAGGTGGGAGGGGCCCTTATGGGAGAGCTGGGAGGGGACCTTAAGGTTTCCCCATGTGTGGAGAGGGAAGGCTAGGGGATTACACACCTGTAGCCGCAGGTTTCAATGAAGTTATCTCCTCCGCGGCAGTCTGGTGACGTCAGTTCTCTGCCATGGTGGTATCTCTTGCAAGTGGCGACAGTTCGTTTCCCTTTGCCGGGTGACCAATGCAACGGGTGGGTCCTTACTGTCTCTCCCAAGCCCCGTTTCAAACCTGTGGCCACTACCTATGAAGGCTCGGTTGGCATTTGCCTCCGTAGGATCAGAAGGGCTGACCAGTTGTTTCAGCTGGATGGATTAGTGCTGAGTCACAGCTGTTTGTCTGCGGGAAGCAGTCTAACGGGAGCTTGAATTCAGCCGATCCGGGCTCAGTGTGTGTTCTGAGAAGTCCAGACTGTTCGCCCCAGATCCATGTCAGCTCAGCATTGCCTAGTGATCCTGAGCAAACAGCATTTAGACTGTTTACGACTCCCTATGCCTGCACAGCTGAAGAGGTCAGAGACTTGATCTCTCCGAGCCCGCCACCATGTTGGATCTCTTTATTTCCGTGTACTATCTTTTGATATGTTTTTGTATTTAGTTTGCCAGAATTTTAGCATCTATGTTCGTTAGAGATATTTGTCTGAAGGTTTCTTTCTTTGATGTGTCTTTGTCTGGTTTTAGAATCAGGGTGATATTGCCCTCATAAATGTGTTTGGAAGTGTTCTTTTTTTTTCTATTTTATGAAATAATTTGAGGAGTATTGGTATTAGTTCTTCTTTTAAAGTTTTTGTACAACTCAGCCGTGTATCCATCCTGTCCTGGGCTTTTCTTGGTTGGTAGGCTTCTGATGGTGTCTTCTATTTCATTGCTTCAATTGATCTGTTTAAATTGTGTATATCATCCACATTCATCATATGACTCTAGATATTTTGTCAATGCCTTTGATATTTTCTGTTTTATTGGAGTACAAATTTTCATAATAATTTTTGATTATCTTCTGTATTCTGTACTGTAGTGTCCGTCAATAAATAATAATAATACAGTCAAATTGGAAATTTCCTCCTGTAGTGTCCATCAATAAATCAATAATTGTAATTAATCACATCAATACACTTAAAGATAAGAATTATATGATCATATTTCCTTTTTCATCACGGATATTAGTAATTTGAGTTTTCTCCCTTTCTTTGTTAGCATGGGTTTATCAATTTATTTATTTTTTCAAAGAAACAACTTTTTGTTTTGACATTTTTAAATTATTTCTTTTGTTTCAATTTCATTGAATTCAGCTCTGATTTTAATTATTTCTTGTCTTCTGCTTTTGGTGTTGATATATTATTCTTTTTCTAGGGCTTTAAGATGTAACATTAGTTCATTTATTTGACTTTTCCTTCTAAGGAATGAATTTCATGCAATGAACTTTCCTCTTAGTACTGCCTTCATAGTGTCCCAGATTTTTCAATATGTTGTATTAGTGTTCTCATTTACCTCTAAGAATTTTTTAATATCCTCTTTGATGTCTTTTGCAACTCATTGTTCATTCAGTAGCATATTATTTAGTCTCCAGGTGTTATAGTAGCTTTTTTTTAATCATTGATTTCTAATTTCATTCCATTATGATCTGATAGAATGCAGGTTAGTATCTTTGCTTTTTTGTATTTGCTAAGAGTTGCTTTGTGGAATAACAGGGTCTATTTTAGAGAAGGATCCATGTGCTGCCGAGAAGAAAGTGTATTTGCTTGTTGAATGAAATATTCTATATATGTCAGTTAAGTCTAAGTTATTGAGTTCTATAGTTTCTTTGTTCAGCTTTTGTTTGGAAGATCTAGCCAGTGGTGAGAGGTGTGTTAAAGTTACCCAGAATTATTGTGTTATTGTTTATTTGAACTTGAGAAGAGTTTGTTTGTTTGAACGTAGATGCTCCATTGTTTGGGACATATATATTTATAATTGTTATATCTTGTTGATGTATGGTTCCCTTAAGGAGTATGCAGTGTCTGTCTTTAGCTCTTTTTATTTGGCTTCAAGTCTACTTTATTTGATATGATTTTGTATAAAGAAAAAAATCTTATTTGACCATTTTCTTTTTCTTCCTTCTATAGTATTGCATTTGGTTTTTAAAATTATTGTTTTATTATTATCTCAGTCTTAAAGCAATGATTATTTGTCACTGGCTTCATTATTTTGGGGAGAAAATCAAAATACATAGATGCATTAATCAGATATGGCCATTTAAAAATTATCCTTTTAAAAATTTCTCTGTATCTGGATTATTTTTCTAATCTCATGGTTAAATCTGACATTGTTAATTCAAGATGGGTAAATCTCAGTAAACAGAAATAATGACATTTTGTTAACTTTTAGAAGGACATAGCCTTTTCATTGACAGATCTAAATAAAAGATAAAGGATATCTTGACTTCAAGAAAAATTTTTTTCATTACTACTAGAATATTTTATTCAATACTGATGATTCAATACTTTTAATGGTTCACCATAAGTATACATGGCAAATTGTAAATAATCTAAATTACTATATTTTAAAAACAAAACTCAATTTTGGGAAAAGTTAATCTTAACACATTTATTTCATAGTCCCCCCCCTTTTATTGCTTTTGATTTATAGTAAAGTTCAATTTTAAGTCATTAAGAAAATTTGAATACTGTAGAAACTAGAATGTTAGGTGGTTGATTTGAAATTACAGGAAAATTTATGATTCCTAGTATTATTCATTAATTATGATGACACTGATGTTATAACAACAAAAACAAAAAAGGCAGGTGTTTTTGTGATAATGACTTTAACACCATGGAAGACCTTAAGCCTTGAAAATTCTAGGAGTGTTAAGCCAGGACTACCACATAAACTGCTCCTGTTATATAACATAAAGTTCATTTAACTGTGTTTTAAGATGATTGATACTTTTGTCATTTCTTTGTTAGAGCCAAATACCACAAGTTGAAATATGGGACAGAATTGAATCAAGGAGATATGAAGCCTCCAAGCTATGATTCTGGTAAGTTAGTTTTAAAGGAAGCTTAAGTAATATAAAGAAGTTTATGACTAATATTTTGTAGCAACAACATTTGTAAATATAATTTAATTTCTAATCATTTGCATGTTTTTCTGATCTGCTAATCTGTTGGCATTAATCATTTTGTATCCTGTAGATAATTTCCCACCACCTTCCTTCCTTTTCCTTCTTCCTCTTTCTTTTAGTTCCCCATTTTCTGCTTATGTTCTACACTTATTGGAAAGTTTCAGGCTTCATGGGGTAACATGCACCAACATAACCTTGTCTTGCTGGGTCCTTCTAGTATTAATGGAAACTTTGAGATGCACAGTACAAAGTACATGATGCCCTTGAAATCCTGAGAAAGAGTAGGAACTATAAAGGTAAGAGATTTCTTTTTCAAAGCACAGGGGAATTCCTAATCCTTTAAACCTGATTTAGCACCTGCGTGGGGGATGGAGGCCAGATTACTCTGCATGGTTTGGGCTGGAGGTGAAAAGACCACATGGACACAGATTTTCAGAAAGGAGCGGCCGTGGGGTGGGGGACGGCACTGCTCTGCCACCTCAAGAGTCCTCTTCTGCTCTGGAAGGCAAGAGAGCCAGTGCACCCGGAATCGCTCTATTTATAGGGAAAAGACAACAAAGGACTTTCGATAGAATATTCTACATTGAATAAGGCAAGGGATAAGGTTTTAAGGGAGTTGCCCAGTCCCATTGGGTAACGCTCAAGTCCAGAGCTGAGGCAAATTTATTTGCCAGCTGAAGTTCATGAAGGTCATTTGCTTTGTACAGCACATGGTGTGTGATTCCAGTCCCACACCCCCTTTACTCAAGGGGAGTACTGAGAGGGGATGCTTAGCTCATGGGCAGAGCGGCTCCCACACTGACTGCTCAGTTTCAGACTGTTTTGGCCTTTCTCATGCACAGAAAATTCTATCCTATAAGCAGAACGTGTTTTAACAGGTGAAACATTTATCTTTTTATATTATTTCTTCTTTTTCTTTCCCCTACCTTCCTCTTTACCCACCAAATAATAGAAAGTAGTACTTGTAAACAATATAGATATAATTCACTTATTAGTAGGTATAAGGGAAAGTGAGAAAAACTGTTCAGAAGTTATCACATAGGTGAATTCTGGGCATGATTTCGGATTAAATTCCTCAAATATCTAAGGATTTTTTCTTCATATTTCAAGTACTGAAAACTGTAATTTATATCACTTGCTGAAATTTCTACCTATGCTAGGAGCTTTAGAAACTATAATTATTTTATTATTATTTTTAGTTATACATGATAGTAGAATGTAATTTGACTTATCATACATATGTGGAGTATAAATTCCCATTCTTGTGGTTGTACATGATGTGGAGTTACACTGTTCATGTATTCATATATGAATATAGGAAAGTTATTTCTGATTCATTCTGCTGTCTTCCTCATTCCCATCTCCCCTCCCTTCTCCCCATTCCCCTTTCCCTGGTCCCAGTCGGGTTAACCTCCACCAACACCCCCCTCCTTGTGAGTCAGCATCTATGTATCAGAACGTTCAACCTTTGTTTTGGGAGGGATTGGCTTATTTCGTTTAGCATGATAGCTTCTAGTTCTATCCATTTACCTGCAAATGCCATAATTTTGTTCTTCTTTATACCTGAGTAATATTCCACTGTATATATGTACCACATTTTCTTTATCCATTCATCTATTTAAGGGTACCTGGGTTGGTTCCATAGCTTAGATATTGTGAATTGAGCTCTTATAAACATTGATGTGGCCACATCACTATAGTATGCTGATTTGAGGAGTACAATAACTGGGTCAAATAGTGGTTCCATTCCAAGTAGAAACTATAATTCTTAAAATAGTTATTCAGTAAATAAAATATTGTTCTCATGTCACGTATGTGTAATTTTAGCTCACAGAAGTGGACACATTTTCCAAATTTCCATTAAATGATGAAGTGTAGAGCTGAATCCAGGTCTACCTGAAAAGAAAACTGATAAGGACTACTTTAATGTCAGAAGGAAGACCAGGAGAGTAGAAACTAACAGAAAGAGAGGAAGGAATGTTCAAAGGAAGGAATGTTCATCACTGCTGATGAATTAATTCCTATAGAGCTAAAGAGTATCTGTCAGATTAGTGGCACACAGGTCATTCATTGGGTTACTGAGAACATAATTGAAGCAGTTAAGAAACAGGTGATGGCAGAATCAAAGATGTCAGTATAAAATGAAGACCAAATGCAGTCAGCATTTTAGATGCTTAGCTTATGAAAGTGAGGAAGGACTGAAGGGCAACAGCTAAAAGATAACCTGGGGTCAGAGAGACTGTGCGTAGGTGGTTGGGGCAGGGTTCATAAATAAGGAGCCAATAAAAGGAAAAGAGTAGATATACTTAGATTAGGAAGGTATCTGAAGAAATGACTCGGATTGGATTCTGAACATAATGGCAGACACATTGGAGGAAGAACATATTTCTTGTTATTATCAAGAGAGAAACATAGAAAGTCAGGTAACAGATTGTAAGTTTGAGTTTCAGTTTGGATGGTGGGTATTTGAGGGAATGTCCTCTTAATAGCTTTATGTATGAGACATTATCTACAAAGAGTTGATCAGACTTTTAAGAAATGCAGAGAAAGTTTATAATACTGTTTGAAGAGGAAGACAAATTCACTAGGAGTTAGTAGCATTGAGAAAACCTAAGGGTTTGGTTAAGTTGTTGTTTTGTTGCAAAAGTAATTTTTCTTTAAAGAAATTTAAATAATAATATGAAAATTATATCTCTAGTACTCATAATGCCTTTGTATAGAACTGTATTTCCATCTGGTATTATTTTTCTCCTCCCTTTAAGACTTCTTTTAACATATTTTGTAATATGGGATGCTGGTAATAAGTTTTTTCAGCTTTTGTATATCTGATAAAGGTTTTATCTTGCTATCATTGTTTCTAATAAGATGTCTGCTATTATGCTTATCTTTGTTCCTCTGTATATAATGTATCCCTTTTTTTGGCTGCTTTTAAGATTTTCTCTTTATCATTGGTTCTAAACAAATTTCTTTGTTTCTTTCTTTCTTTCTTTCTTTTTTTTTTTTAACTGAGGAATAAACCCAGGGCCTTGCATATGCTAGGGAAATCCTGTATCATTGAACAACATCCCAGCCCTTTTATTTTAAGACAGGGTATCACAAAGTTGCTGAGGCTGGCCTTGAATTTAGGATCCTCCTGCCTTGGCCTTCCAAGTACCTGGGATTATAGGCATGTGCCACCATATTTAGCTAAAAAAGTTTATTATGATGTTTTATAAAATAAAATAAAAATGTTTATTATGATATAAAAGTGTTTACTATGATGTACTGTAGTTACTTTTCTCCACAGTGTTTCTTAGGCTTGGGGTTTAATGAGTTTCTTTGACCAGTGGGTTTATAGTTTTTATGAAATCTGGAACTTTTTGGTCATTATTTCTTCAGATACTGTGTTAAAAGCTAGAAACTCCTAGAAACTCTTTTATCAAGGCAGTAGCTGGGACAGTCATAAGGTTCATCCCTTTGCTTGCCTTCTCTCAAGGATCACTATCTTTTGGAAAACATTGTTTCATTTGTTTTTGTTTGTTTATTGGTGCTAGGGATTAATCCCATGGATGTTTAACCAGAGTTATATCCTGAGCCATTTTCATTGTTCATTTAGAGACGGGGCTTTGCTAAGGACCCACTAAATTTCTGAGCTGATCTCAATCTTGTGATTCTACTACCTTAGTTGCTGAAATTATAGGTGTGTGCCACTGTGCCCAGCTCATTTGTTTTGTTTCAGGCAGGAGGGTAAATGTAAATCCCTGTTATAGAAACTATACTGGATGTAGCAGTCATATTATCAAGAAATTAAACTATTAGCTACTTTATTTATTGATTTATTTTGGTACTGGAGATTGAACCCAGGTGTGCATTACCACTGAGCTACGTTTCCAGTCATTTTTGTTTTGAGACAGGATCTCACTAACTTACTGAGGTTGGCCTTGAACTTCTGGTCCTTCTGACTTAGCCTCCTGAGTCACCAGGATTACAGGTGTTCTCCATTGTGCCAGAGCTACCTTAAAATCCTTACTTTAATATAAAGCTACTTTTTAAATTTTGTAAGGCAAAAATGAATCTGATAGTTGATAATTACTTACTAGAAAGGACTATAACTTGGCCTACTATGTAAGAATAAGAGTAATTTGTCTTTTAAGAGGATGGAAGTACATTATTTTTTGACTTGTCTTAACTTACTTTTTATTAAGGCATAATTTTTTAAGGTATAATTTCTGTACAGTAAAATTTATCATCCTTAGTGTTTTCACAAAACATAGTTTGTGGGGATTGAACCCTGGATTTCATGCATGCTAGGTAAGCGCTCTACCACTGAGCAACATCCCTAGCCCAGAATATAGCCTTTTTTGATCTGGTTTAACTCACTTCACATAATGCATTTGAGATTCATCCATGTTGGTTGGGTATCAGTTGTTCATTCCTTGTTCTTATTGAGTTTATGTACCATATTTACACAACATCATTAGCTGCCAAAGTAGTCAGTATATCTGAGGATGGCATAGAAAGGATTTAGGCCTGTTCTGATGGGAGATTAAATAACCTCAACATTTCTTTTCACATCTGAAAATTTTAAAATCTTAAAGTGTCAGTGTACATGCGCTTACTTGGCAAGTACAAGTTATTCAGTAGACTGAAGGGTATAAATTGTAACATAATTATGTTATGAATAGTTCCTGAATTGCAAAATTCATAGAACAATGTAATTTTTTTCTTTCCACATTTTTAGTTGGTGCATTGTATTTGTACATAATGATGGGAATTTGTTGTTACATATTTATACATGCTCACAATGTAACAATATAATTTGTCTAATATCATTTTCCAGCATTCCTCCTACTCCCATATCATTTTTTTCATAAAGTATTGGGACATTATTTTTGCCCTTCCCTGCAAAACACACACACACACACACACACACACACACACACACACACAGTTTGGCAGTATATCCTCTTTGAACTTATCCCAAAGTAATCTTTCTTTTGGAGTTAAATTAATTTCTTTCCTCCACACTCACCTCCAGTCCATTCTGTTACTATTTCTTTAAAATTCTACAGAACTCTCCTGAGTTATTTTAGGAGAAAACAAAACACAAGATATGATTCTTACTTTTATTCACATTTCTCCAGTTTTTTTATCATTGTTGTAATAATATATGGAGGAAAGTGCTGGGACTCTGGAGGGAGTCAGGAAGGATTTTTTACACTTACAACTGTGTTTCCAAGGAACCTGAAAATTATTCTCTAAAACTTAGCTTTTCCTCTTTAAGATAGGGATAAACATGATTTTTTTTAATTTGTAAGAATTGAAAGAGAAGGAGCTGGGCTAGTGGCACATGCTTATATTCCCAACTACTCAAGAGACTGAGGCAGGAGGAGTGCAAATTTGGGGCCAGCCCCAGCAACTTAGCAAGACCCTATCCAAAAATTTAAAAATAAAAGGGGCTGGAGACATAGCTCAGTGGTAGAGTACCCCTGGATTCAATCCCCAGTACCAATCAATCAATCAATCAATTAATAAGGAAAGAGGTAATATATATGTATTTTAACATATATTTGGGAACACAATAAGTATGTACTAAATGCTTAATTTTAGAAAATATGAAACAATTTCTTGTTCTCTCTTGTGTCTCCTCTTGAAAAAGATTTTATAAAGACTAGCAATTTCTTTATTTGATGAAGGACTGATTCAAAATATATGATTTTTTTTTAATATTGTGAATGTTGAACCATAGTCTAGTGCGGAACTTTTTGGTTTAGGTTTCTCATAGAGAAATTCTTTTTATTAATTCTTCTGAAAGGATTCAGCTTGTACATAATGATAAATTTAAGCTTTAAAAGTTAAAAGAGGTTTAAAATTCAAAGAATGTCTTTGAAAGAATACTTGAAATTTTCATTTAATAACTTGCAAAGGAAACATTTGGATTGAGGTTATTTCTTAGTATATCTGCTCTTTATAAAATTAAATTTTTGGTCTCATTTCTAAATATTTTGTTCTGGTTATAATGGGATACCTAATACTTGTATTTGACTCTCACTATGTATGACTTGATTGGATAGGTCTTGGTTCTAGAGCAAAATTCTCAGTCTAGCTAAAAGTGAAAATGTCTTTATATTCTACTACTCTAAAGGGAATCCAGTAGCATTAATTAATATGTGTTAGAGTTTTGTTATGGAAATTCGAATTAAAAACTTTTTTGGAGTGGGTGTAGTGGGGATTGAACTCAGGGGCACTCAACCACTGAGCAAAATCCCCAGCCCTGTTTTGTATTTTATTTAAAGACAGGGTCTCACTGAGTTGCTTAGTGCCTCACTGTTGCTGAGGCTGGCTTTGAATTTGTGACCCTCCTGCCTCAGCCTCCTGAGCCACTGGGATTACAAGCATGCACCACCGCACCCAGTTAAAAACATTTTAATTGTCCTAAAACATACATAAATGTTTACTGGATATTTATTAATTGAGATGCCTTCTAATATGTAAAACAAGTCAGTTTTATTATGACAATGTATTTCAGATGAAGGTAATGAAACAGAGGTGCAGCCACAACAGAACAGCCAGTTAATGTGGAAGCAAGGTCGACAACTACTCAGACAGTAAGTATCTTGTGGCCAATCTTATCAATAGTCGAGGATGAGAAACATTATTTTCATGAGATTGTTTTCCTATTTATTTTCAATTCAAAAGAATAAGTTTATTTCTTATTTTATTACTGCTTTGAAAAAGCTTAATTGAATTACTGTTTAATTTTCATATTAAACACTTTTCCCCTTTTTGTTTTTGTTTTGTGGTACTGGGGAATTGAACCCAGAGATGCATTAGCACTGAGCTATTTCAGTATAGGTCTAATCAGTATTTTTTGCATGTATTTTTTTGTTAATTTAAAAAATTTTAAGTAATTTGTTGAGCTTAAATTCTGAGATTTTGAAAATTCTGCATAGCATAAGCTTTCTCCTGTAAAATGTGTATCTGAGACTATACAGAGGAAACAGTTCAGTTAAGGTTTTGGTGTCAAGTAGTAGACTACACCATCTCAGTGCCTGGTCCTTGTATACCACCTTTGAAACTGGTATTCAAATTTTATGCCAAGGTAAAATGAAATATGCTGCTTGTTTGAGACTTTTGGGTTTGCTTCCAAAGTGAATGAATGCTAGCTATTCCTTTTGACTTAAGGAAGGTAATGTTACAACATCTCTTCATATTTATTTAGACAAAAATTAGAAAACAGTGAATCCTTACTAATATTTAAGTGAATTTTTATTAGTGTCCTCACTTTGGTCTGAAGTATGACTTAGGTATTTTGATTTTTAAAATAGGCAAGTTTTCTTAAAATGCTGATTTTTTTTTTAAAAAAAAGTGATTTCATAATGATGTATTCAAGATATATTTTTAAAATCTTAAAAAGACCTATAATCGTCTTAGAAAAGGGTGACATTTTATCAGTTACAAAGAAACTATTAGCCTGTTTACTTATGGCTATGTGGTTTTGTTGCCAAAGTGAGGTACACATCAAATATTATTGCTAAAAATAGAAAAATACATTTTTGTAGTACTCTGTAAGAACAACTGATTAAATTCAGGAAAGTTGGAAGTTTATTACTTTAATCAAAACTTTCTATATATATTCATTAGGATTGAAAAATGAGCATCTTGGTTTGGTAAGATACACTTATTCCATTTGATCACATATCTTTATGAAATCTTTCTGCTCTAACAACTTTTGAAACCAAATCTTCAAATAAACTGAACTTAAACTATCTTGTCAACCTTTGTTTTCTTTTGTCCAGTAGACTCCATATCAACATATATTAATGCCTAATATTTTTCTATTGTTTATTAATGGCATTTGCCCTTTCCATGGTCCTGTCCCTGCCATTTGGTCTTTTTTGATTAACTTTGGTGTTAAATAGGTATTCAAGGGCTGGGGTTGTGGCTCAGTGGTAGAAAGTTTGCCTAGCACATGTGAGGCCTGGGTTTGATCCTCAGCACCACATTAAGAAAAAATAAACAAATAAAATAAAGGTGTTGTGTCCAACTACAACTAAAAAGAATTTTTAAAAAATAGGTATTCAAGTGCTGTCTGTATGCCAGACACAGTATTAGTTGTGTCTGTTTTTAAGGAAAGAAAACTCAGCTTTGTGAAAATTAAAGTTATAGGGCAAATAAGTGACAGAAATAGATGTAAGACCTAGGTCTAACTCTTACTATAAAGCCTGTGCTCTTTTTTTTCTGTGCTGCTGCCTTTCTGCAACATGCACGAATTTACATACATACCCTCTATTCCACAATTTAATTTTGGTTTATTTTTATTTTTGAGTTATTTAAGCATAGATTTTTCTGTTCTACAGAAGTGACTTTTGGGAAAATACTATATTCTTATATGATGTGGAGGAAACCATATGTACTGAAAACATTCTCTCTAGATCTCAAACAATTGATCTGGGGCTGGGGTTGTAGCACAGTGGTAGAGCACTTGCCCAGCATGTGTGATCCCCAGCACCACATAAAACTAAATAAGTTAAATGAAGGTATTGTGTCCATCTACAACTAAAAATATATTAAAAAAAACCAGTTGATCCATGACAATTTGCATTTGAAATATAAAAAAGTTGCAATCACTGTTATAAAATAGTAATTTGGTAGAATTTGGTAGTGAACTTGCTCTGATCCTGCAGAAAGAATGTGCTATGAAATATTGAGGAACAGTTTCTGCATAGTATAAATGTAATGAATGGTGTATTGTATAGTTGATTTTTCTCAGTGACTCTAGAGGCTGGTACTGCAGGAGACAGCTCCATCTGCAGCTGGAATATTATTGACAAGTCTTAACTAGCATAGTGCTCCTAGGTCTTATGTAGGCAGTGTATTAGAAGAATTGCTTTTAATTACACATTAAATTTTAGAATACTGATTCCTATATGACTGAATTGTAAGGATCCTCTTCACACAGGTATCTTCAGGAGGTGGGTTACACAGATACTATTCTAGATGTGAAATCTAAACGAGTACGAGCTTTGCTGGGCTTTTCAAGTGATATCACTGACAGGGAAGATGACAAAAATCAGGATTCAGTTATAAATGGCACAGAGGCTGAAGTTAAAGAAACAGCAATGATTGGGTAAGTATTTTGTCTGGAAAGTATTTTAGTTGTAACTTAGTTCATATTTAATATTTTTGATTTTGAAATATTACTTTTAGGTGGGATTTGGAAATAAGTTAAAGTTTCATTTGGTTAGAAGGCAACACAGGGGTTGAAGTTGGCATTTGAGACTATTTAGTTCAAGAATGTAATTTCATATTTAGGGTATTTTATTTGCTTGAAATTTATTTAATATAAGATTTTTTAATATCTTGAAGCTCAGTCAACTGCTACTAGAACCTCATAAAATATTTTGATTTGAAATGCGGTGCTAATCTATAAAAATGGAATTTCATTATAAGTGACCCAGAAATCATAAAAATACCTCACAATTCTTTAGAAGAAACCATTTTAACCACTTTTGTTCATGTAGTAATTCTGTAACTCATCTTTTCTTTGATGTAAAATATCTACTTTAAATATACATATTGTTAGCTTGAAAAATTTAATAATTTGAAATATTTTTCTTATTGAACATATTATTATTATATAGTTGTATATAATTCTAGTTAAATGAACACTAATAGTTCAATAAAGTAATCGTTCTTTATTGGGAAAAAAATTTGCTATGATTTTTTCTTTTTTTGAAAACTATTATTTTATTTACTTATTTATTTTTATTTGGTGCTGAGGCTCAGACCCAGCGCTTCACACATGCTAGGGGAGCACTGTACTGCTGAGCCACAACCCTAGCCCCTGCAATGATTCTTAGTTGAATAAAAAGCCTAAGATTCTCTGAAAACTAATTACAATGGTATTACATTTTAACCCATATTTAGGCTAGTAGAATGGTTTTAATTGAATGCTATAAATTTTCTAATGAGAACATATTTCCTGTTATTTGGAATATAAACTAAAATTATAAGATTAGGTAAAGATACAAGGTAGGAATTTTATGAAAAAATGTCTTTGGAACCTTCTTAAAAGTGTTCATTAATAATTAAGAATGTATTGGGACTGGGATTGTTGCTCAGTGGTAGAGCGCTCGCCTCACACATGCAAGGTCCTGGGTTCGATCCTCAGCACCACATATAAATAAATAAATAAATAAGTAAAAAAAAAAAGAATGTATTAACTTGTATTTACAAATGAAAGTATAGATTTTTTTCCCTGTAGACATAGATCATATAGGTATCATTCTTGGTTTTGTTTTTATCTTTTACATTAACCTAAGTCATTAAGTTAACTTAGGTAATATAAATATTTTTAGGGATGGTAATGCATACTTTTACAAAACCTTCAGTAATGATTTTCAGAAGAGATGATTCCATTGTCTATTTTTTGTTTACCTCTCTTTTAAACTGAAAAGGATGTTAGTCTGAATTTGTCAGATTTCTGTAGACAAAGAGAAAAGGAGGAAAAAATCAAAATCATAGCTCTCAGCAGATTTGAAATTGAAGATTTAGCTATTTTTTAAAATTTGCCTATAGTTGTGACTATAGTCCACCCCCCCTCCGAAAATGCCTTCTCATCTAAAACATTTTCTGATGAACTAGAGAGAAATCATTCTGTTGTGGCCCTTAGGAAAGTGTTAACTAAATTTATTTTGAGGGAGCTATGTTCAAGCCTTATATTTGAAAATTTAGTCATTTCTAAAAGATTCATGGTTTATTCATTGGCAGAGTCAAAACTTAAAATAATATCAGTTTGACTAGTATATTGTTTTCAATAACTTTATTTGCACATTTTCTCTTTTTACCTCCTTAGCTAGCTGTTTAACAAAAGATTGCATCAGAGAAAAATGACATATTTATTAGTTACTTAGTTATAAAAACTCATGTAAGAAGTTAATTGAAGAGTTGCAGAAAGAAATACATAGGGATAAAAAGGAGGCAGAGATAATGAAAGAAATATTTTCAAAAATACATTAAGGTTGATATAAGGATCAAAGGAATCTGAATCTTGAGAGGGAGTTCTTTTCAGTAGATTATCACTATTTTTTTTTGTTGTTCATTTGGTATTAGAGTGCTTTTATACACTGATCTATGTCTGCAGTTCTTTTTATTTTGATACAGGTTCTTGCTAAGTTGCTTAGGGCCTTCCTTCTTGAGACTGGCCTCGAACTTGTGATCTTCTTGCTCAGCTTCCCAAATTGCTAGAATTAAAATTGTGTACCACCATGTGAGGCACAATCCTAGCCATTAAGATAATTGAGCCAGGTGTGTTGGCACTGTAATACCATCGACTCAGGAGGCTGAGACAGGAGAATCACAAGTTCAAGGCCAGTCTCAGCATCTAAGTAAGATCCTGTCTCCAAATAAAAAATTTATAAAGGGCTGTGAATGTGACTCAATGGTTAAGTGCCCCTAGGTTCAATCCCAGGTACAAAAAATGTTTATGATTATAAAGTACTTTTAAAAGAATAGCCACTTCTTATATTGCTTTCTAAATCCATAGAATTGTAATAGATGAGAATCAATGTCATTTGAGACTCATAATATAATATAAATATAAGTTAGTAAAACTTATCATGAGTTGATTTTATGTTGAGGTTAAAAAGAGTAATTGAGCATGATTATTTGTGTTTTAAACCAGAAAATCTGAGTTAACAGATTCTGCTTCTGTGCTGGATAATTTCAAATTCCTTGAAAGTGCAGCTGCTGATTTCAGTGATGAAGATGAAGATGATGATATTGAGGGAAGAGAGAAAAGTGTCATTGATACTTCAACAGTGAGTTAAATAACTCAGATAACATATATTTTAAGGACCATGTTTACTTTAAAAATAATTCATGTGGGGTTAGGGATATAGCTCAGTTGGTAGAGTGCTTGCCTAGCATGCAAAAAGCCCTGGGTTCAATCCCCATCACCATCACCCACACACACACACACACAAATACACACACACACACACACACACACACACACACACACACATATACACACACACACACACACACACCAAAAAAAAAAATCACGCTCTTTAATATAAGCCCTTTACTTTTTTTGTGTGAGAAATTGGAAAGAGCTTTGGTATAGATTTCAAATTCAAGAATGCTTTTAATATTATAGCTTTGCCTTAAAAGCCCTCACTTGAATTTTTATTAACTTATTGAATATGATAACATTTTATAGAGCTGATGAATATAATGAAAATGATATGGGCTGAGATTGTGGCTCAGTGGTAGAGCACCTGCCTAGCACATGTGAGGTCCTGGATTCGATCCTTAGCACCACATAAAAATAAATAAATAAAATAAATATATTGTGTCCAACTACAACTAAAAAATTAAATATTTAAAAAAATAAAATGATAAACATGTGTTATAGCAGTCTAGTGTTACAATCTTATTACAATGTAATTGGCTGCTATAAAACAATAGAACTGGCATATAATCCATTATGGTGCCTAACATCAGCTCTGATGCAGTTTTTGTCTCTCTTGTGAGTTGCTTTGGTAGGTCAGGCCTACAGACTTCTAAAACTATAGGCAAAGGATTTCTGTAATTTTTTCAGGTCTTTATTAGTTGATTGACTTTTTCCTAGCAATTTCCTGGAATAAAAGTTGTCTCTAAATTGCTATTTCTTACTTCTCTTTCCGTCTCCATGTTTTTCCTCCTCTCATTATCATTCCTCCTTTCCTCTCTTTTCACCTTTTCCTTCTATCCCCATTACTTTTTCCTCTACTTCCCCACCGTTTTTTTCTCCTCCTTTTTCTTTCTCCTTTTCTTTCTCCTCCTTCATTTCTAAGGAGATGAGGACATGTTTTACTTTGTTTAGAAAAATGTTTAAATTTCCTCTTTCACATTTATTTAAAATAAGAATGAGAAAGTAAAGAAATAGGAATCAGTCTAAGTGTCAAAATGCTTGAGTTTAAGTCCCAGGTCTGCAACTTAATTATGCTTTTTAATGTTTCAGGCTTAGTTTTTATAGTTTATAAAAATGAAGACTATAATGAATACCCAGAAGATTTTGTGAGGAACAAAGGAGACACTATATATAAATGATAGCTTCAACTATAAAGTGTAACTTTTTTTTTTTTAATGCCCTCTGCTTCCTGAGATCCATTAGGTGCTCTCAGATGGATTACTGCCAGATTATTGTTTCCCTGGGCCACTACGCAGGAGTGCTCTACTGATATAGTCCTGCCATGGATATTATTGGAACTTTGAATAGTCACTCAAATATTTTCTTATCCAAATGAATAGTAATAACTTGTGTCTTAATTTACTGTAGTAAAAAAGCCTAAGCTTCTGTGACATTTTTTTCTACCCTGATCATCTGAAAGTTATGTAACTTCTTATGATTCCTATGAGATAATTACATTGAAATATTGGTTTCCTATCAAAATACCTTATTTATAGCTAAGTGGTAAATAACTATGATGCTGTTAGTGATTATATCAACTTAAATATTTAAAATCTATAAACGAATTATTAAAACTGTTTTGAATTATCAGCCTAGAAATTTCTAAAAAACAACCTGTTTAATTTCTTAATTCCTAACCATTTGGGGGTTTTATGTTTGTTTATTTTGATACCAGGGATTGAACCCAGAAATGCTTAACTACGGAGCTACATCCCCAGCCCTTGTTATTTTTTATTTTGAGACAGGGTCTTGCTAAAAGCTACTTAGGGTCTAGCTAAATTACTGAGGCTAGCTTTGAACTTGTGATCCTCTTGCCTCAGCCTTCTGAGCCGATGGAATTACAGGTGTGCGCCACTGTGCCCAGCTGGGTTTTTTTGTTGTTTTGTTTTTAAATAATCAAATTCATAAATGTTCTGTCTTCCAGTTGGTACAGATCATAACAGTTCTGTGATCAAGCAATGAAGGTACATCTAATGTAAAGAGACTTATCCCCTTTGAAATACTAGACTAAAAAAGTTTTTTAGAATTTCAGGAAAAAATTTTTTTTTCAAATAACCGATTTTAACAGTTTTGGTAATTTTTACATTATATTACACTAAGTTTCACATGACAAGCATTTTAAAAATCAAACTTTGTAACAGTGAATAAGCATGTTCTTAGAAAATATATTGTATGTAATATAGACAAACAGAATGGCCAAAAATTATCCTATTAAAATGTGTCATTTCTTTAATCAAAATAGTTCAGTAAATTCAACTAAGGAAATATTTTAAATAGTTCAGCCAATTATTCTAGCATCATTAAATAATCTTTATTTCTTCTCTTCAGTTTTTATATATACCAGATCAGTTAAGACAGATTGTTTTCATCTGTGAGGTCAGTTTTATTCCTTTGGTAGTGGCTTCCTAGAGTACTTTATAAGACAGCTTTCTGAGGCTGTATCTCATCTCTGCTGTAAATTGCTGTGATTGATAAGTGATTCCACATATGAGAGTGGGAACAGGGCCATACAAGTCAGCTGTGTGTTTGCTAATTCTTAAGGTCTATTTCTGGACTCACTAGGCTGTCCTATTGATCTGTCTACTGAAACTTTACAATTTTATACCACTCAAAAGATTCCAGGGGTGAAGTTTGATTAGATCATACTATTTCTGTTTTGCATGAAACAAAAAAGCTAAAGTCTGGAAAATTGAGATATTGTGATATTTTATGGAAAGAAGCTGCAGACCCATTATCCTAATTTCTTAGGGCTCATGTTGGTTGAGGTAACCAAAAAGGAGATAATTCATGAAGAGTATAGACATGCTGGTCTCAGAAATCATGTCTGCATGCATTAGTCTCAAGTTTTAACCCTCTAACTGAATTTGTAATTCCATATATACTTCTAAATATATAAAAGTGAAACCTAACCCCTGTCATATTTGGAGTTTTGTTTTGTTGGTACTGAACCCAGGGGCACTTTATCACTGATCTAAATCCCCAGACCGTTCTATTTTTTGTTTTGAGAAAGGGTCTTGCTAAGTTGCTGAGGCTGGCCTCAAACTTGTCATCCTCCTACCTTAGCCTTCCAACTATCTGCAATTTAAATGTGTGTCTAATATGCCAGAGACTTCAGTAGGTTTCTGTTTATTTAAAACAAGCCGTCAAACCATTGAACAAAGTTTAAATTATTGCTTTAAGATACATGATGTATACCTTTAAAAATGATATCTGTGTTTTTCACTGGGTTAGGTAGTACAGTTTAATACAACAAAGACATACTTTCTGAAGAAAATAATTGAATAACATTTCTTATTCAGTGGCCAAAGGATACTGTCTCCTTTATTTAAATTAAATATAAAAATTCATAAATATATCCATATTTTAATTTAGCATGTTTTTTCATTAGATTGTTAGAAAAAAAGCATTGCCTGATAGCAGTGAAGACCGAGATACAAAAGAAGCTCTGAAGCAGTTTGACTTCTTGGTTTCATCAGAGGAAGGAGACAGTGAATCTAGAAGTGCAGGCGATGGAACAGACTGGGGTAAGGGGAAGCATACTGCCTCCAACCAGAGATTTAAGTAAATAAAAGAAATTAATATTTTACCATGAGGGCCACATCTTGAAGAGCTATGATGTTGAAATGTTGAACATCCAGTGAGATTTTTAACTACTGTTGCCATTTATTCAGGGAGTGTGTGTTTAAAGAAAGTTGTATAATAAGTTGCCTTATCTTTTTTTTTTCTTTTACAATAAGCAATACTCTATGAAAATAATTTGAACTCAAATGTAGAATATTTATTTTCTGCCTAGACAGTAGAAACTACAAATCTGCATTTTGTGGAAACTTAATATGAAATTTTTAACTAGAGGATTTTGAAGATCTCATTTCTAGTATCTTTTGTGCAACAAAGAAGTAGAACGTAGAAAATTGTAGTCTTTCATTCTAAGTCAGATTTTGACAGTGTATACAGGAATAGTGGTTTTTTTCCCCCTCAAATTACTCTAAATGAATTTAATAAACCTCTTAACAAGAGTTAAAACAAATATTTGGAGGAAACTTCTTTAGCATAGGTCATTCTAGTAGTATGGAAGTAAATTTTTATTATCAATAAGGTAAGATATGATTAAATCTTCAAAAATGATTAATTCCTTAGGTTTAAATATATCTATGTAAGAAAGAAAAAGTCCGTATAATATTTGGACAAGTGTTTCTTTATTGAGGGAATATAAAGTTGCCTATTATTTTAATATTTAAGTTTATCTTTAAAAAAGCTTCTTTACTCAGTTTTCTTAAAAGACAAACCAATGGTTCCTTATTTGAAATATATTTTTTTCCCTTTAAGTTAATACTTTGTCCATAAAAATAAAAGTAATTAAATTGTTTTGAGGGATTATATGTTTTTAGATATATATACACCACATTATGAACTTTTCATTTACTTCCATTCAAACAGCTACTTTAAATACTGATTTCAATGTACCTTCAAGAACTAGAATATACATCTTAATATTGGAACACAGATATTACATATGTTCAAATGTTGTTTAGTATTTTTGCTTAAAATGAACATTTTTGTTACATTTTTAGTTATAAACATTAAAAATATTAATATAAACCCAAATTTTTAATACATTGCTTTTCTAAAGGAAACATAAAAATGTTCTAAAGCCAAAATGGAAAAAAATATTTTTTCCTTTTTAAACTTGTGTTAAAAATTTTGTTTGGAATTTTCCTTCTTTACACTTGTGTCATCTTTATATAGGAACTGATAAGAAGACTTGTCCATTTCCTAATGGACAAGTAAAGTGAACAAGTTGGGTAAATTCAGGGAAAAAGGTTGTCTAACATTTTTAATAAACAAAAAATATTTTTGAAACCTATTTTTCCATCTGAAACACTGCAATGAAAATTCCTCAAAGAAAAGAGTGTTTTTTCTCTGTAAATTGCTAATAATCCTAATAGGGCAAGATCTGGAAGAGTTAGATATTATTTGAGTGTTTTTCTTCAGCAGTCAAGGTAGCCTTTAACTCTCCTTACTTCTCAGAAATCATTAGAATGTTAGAGGTGTTTGCTGAATTTTTAAGTGATTTTTCCTATTAGGAATTAAACAAGTTACTATTATTTACTTTGATTAGAATTTTCAGTGAGCAAATAAAGCTCTCAGTTCACTGGAGCTTTCTTTTATAGTAGTTTGGTTCTGTGCATTTTAAGAATTTTTTAATTTAGCCATATTCAGTGGCGCTGCATGCCTGTAATCCCAGCAACTCAGGAGGCTGAGGCAGGAGGATTAGAAGTTCAAGACCAGCCTCAATAATTTATTGAGGCCCTTAGCAACTTAGCAAGACTTTGTCTCTAAATAAAAAATTAAAAGGGCTGGGGATGTGGCTCAGTGATAAAGCACTGCTGGGTTCAGTCCCCAGTAAATACCCCCCAACATACACACACAAAAAGAATTTTATAATTTAATTCAAAGTACTAAACTTTGAACAAACTAACAGAACTATACTGTAAATCTTGTTTAGTTGAGTGGACATTTAAACCATTTTAAGTGCTCACGCCATTCTCTCTTCTATTCCACCCCCTTAAAAAAGAGTTGTACTTAGGTTAAGAATCTGATTAGTTTCTGGCAAGTAAATAGATAAATTATACTAACATCTTCCATGATCTTTTAGTGCTGTTGTAATGGGTCTATGAAGGTTAGGATAGTGCTAAATTTTTGCTTTAATGGACTAAAGACCTTCCAGAATTCAAAACCCATGCAGTTAAATTTATTATTACAGCCAGATTAGAGAAAGTAAAAATTTTAATTATTAGATTTTTCTTGAAAAATAAAGTTTATTCCTTTTGTTTTTAGATTATAGTTACGTATTTAGAAATGTTGATGTAAAATTGTTTTTAATAGTGTTATATTCAAAGGTCCAAAAAACAGTTTTCTAAACTAGATTGAAAGTTAAGTTGTTAAAAATAGATTTCTATTTATTCTGGTTCATTTCAAATAATTTCAAAATTCATTCAGCAAATATTGAACAAATGCTGTCTATGTACCAGGTTTTCTAGAAGATTCTTAACCCCCATGGTGCTCACAGCTTAGTAAAAGGATCTAGGCAGTAAGCAATAAACATAACAAATGATATTGAATGTCAGAGGGTGATAAATGCTATGGAAAATAGAAAAAGTAGAACAAGGTCAGGGATATAGGAAGAATTGGGATTGGATGGGGTGGTAAGAGCAACTTACAGTTTAAAATAGGGTTGCTATGGTAAGCCCTTTGAGCAAAAGATTTAAAATTGTGATGAGGGATTTGGCCATGTGGCATCTGAGGAAGAAGAAAGTGAGAGTAAGTGCCATAAGATAGCAACATACCTGTCATGCTTAAGGAATTCAAGGGAGCCAGAGTGTCTGAAGCAGAGGGATTGTAGTAATAAATGACCATTTTATATAGGATTATGTCAAATGCTGCTATGGAAAGGATATGAGTAGAAGGGTGACATAATCTGACTTTTAAAGCTTATTATGCTTCAGATAGACTACCCAGAGAACTATTGATAATTGTCTTATGTGGTGAAGGGTAATAATTTTTGCAGTAATTCTAGCAAGAGATCAGAGTGGCCAGAGAAGTTGTAGATGTGTTGAGAAATCAGATTCTGCTTATGTTTTGAATGTAGAGAAAGTGAAATATTTGATGTGAAGAGGGAGGAAAGGGTTTTGATCTGAACAAATACAAGTATGAAATTGCTATCAGATGAAATACAGAGCCTGTGAATAGAACAGATTGGTTGAGTAGAGGAGATTGGGAGTTTGGTTTTGCCCATTTAGTTTGAGATGTCTGTTCAATTTCCCAGTTGACAAGTAAAGTGAACAGTTGGTTATATGTGTCATGGATTCAAACTAGAGTTCTATGCTAATACTTCCAATAGTATTGTATAGTACATAAATTGTTTTATATGGTAAGTATAAGTATATAACATATTTACTCTTTTTTTTTTTTTTGGTACCAGAGATTGAACTCAGGGGCACTTGACCACTGAGCCACATCCCCAACCATATTTTGTATTTTATTTAGAAACAGGGTCTCACTGAGTTGCTAAGTGCCTCGCTTTTGCTAAGGCTGGCTTTGAAATTGCAATCCTCTTGCCTCTGCCTTCTCAGCTGCTAGGGTTACAGGCGTGCACCACCATGACCAGCAACATATTTACTCTTTAAATAGTCTTCTCCTGAAATAATTATTAATTTCTTTATTTGCCAGAAGTTCTGAGTTTCCTGTTTGGGGAATTTATAAATAATCATGTCATTTAAATTATTTTGCATTTTGAATGAAGGCTACTTAATAAGTTTTATAAAAATCTACTTATAAGGCCAGTAAAATAAAAATCATCATTTGTTGATGAACACATGCCAAAAGTATAAAACTCTTAAAGGGAAACGATCATTGGATACTATTTTGTACAATCTCAGTAATTGTCTCTCATCACATAAGTAAATATTAAGTGGTTGTTTTTTTTCCAGTCATTCCTAATGGCATTTAGAAAATGGAATGAAAAATGAGAGGTTCTTGATGTCTCTTTCAAGGGAAGTTTGTTAATTAGATTTGATTGTTATTTCTTAGCTACTGTATTTTGTGCAACTTAAATATCTGATGAATAAATAATGACTTTATTTTAGCTAGTGATGCTATGAAGAAAATTGTTGTGTCTTTCAGACATATTGACTTACAGTGTTCAATATTTTATTGAAAAAGGCTGTTTCATTTGTTTTCCTCTGTTTAGAAAAGGAGGACCAGTGTCTCATGCCCGAAGCCTGGAATGTGGACCAGGGAGTAATTACCAAACTCAAGGAACAATACAAAAAGGAGAGAAAGGGGAAAAAGGGGGTGAAGAGTAAGTGGAAAACATTGTATTTATAAATAATAAATCTTGCCTCTTTTACATCTCCCAAGTTTTTTTTTTCCTCCAATGTTTTCCTAAAACTACTTACTCTTTTTCTTTTTTGTTCCTTACTTCTTTTCTTTTCACCTGCTCTCAGGGGTTGAAATTAAATTGTTAGCTATTTGATTATGAACTTAAAATCATGATCATGGAATCACAGTATATCCCAATAATAAATTTAGAGCATCGTGAGAGTGTTGGGCTATGTATTCAAACATGATGATAAATTGATTTTTTAAAGTATGTATGCTTAGCCCGGGTATGGTGGCGCATGCCTGTAATCCCAGCAGCTCGGGAGGCTGAAGCAGGAGGATTGCGAGTTCAAAGCCAGCTTCAGCAAAAGCGAGGCACTAAGCAAAGCAACTCAGTGAGACTCTGTCTCTGAATAGAATCCAAAATAGGGCTGGGGATGTGGTTCAGTGGCCAAGTGCTCCTGAGTTCAATCCCCAGTACCAGAAAAAAAAGTATGTATGCTTCATTGTAATGATGTTTATTTCCAGTGGCAATTTATAAATCTCATCTAGTATACCTCACTGGCAAACCACTGTAATTACTGCTTATAATTTTAGATCTTAGGAACAAAAATAAATTAATTTCTACCCCTGAATATTCTTTGTGTTCACAACACAGTTCATTTACTCTCACCAATATATGCTATACAGGGCACAGAGTCAAATACACAACTTCAAAAAGTATTTGTTTTCTAATTTAAAAGTTTTGGCCAATTTAATTTATAGCACTATTACCAATTGCCTTTTTTTTTCTTTTCAGTAAATTCTGTGCCACATCAAAAACAAGCCAAAATGAAATTTCTAGCCCTGTGAATCATATAACTTGCTATGCAAATGAAAAGTTAGAAATAGAGCTAGTTAAGTATGAAAATGGAAATACCAAAACTTTCAAAATATCCCTAAAAACAATCTGAATTATCTTTTTAGGAGGGCAAGACTAAAAACTTCCTTGTGCTACTACCCTCATTGACAATATGATCATGGATCTCTCTTCTGTCGGAATGGGAATTTCATCCTTTGAGATATGAAAGTAATGTAAATAGAGGTTGAAATCTAAATTTAATGAGTAATATATTTTTATAAATTGCAAAGGACTAGAGGGATGTCCTCCCCCACTTTTTACTGATGTTAAAGCTTATCAAAGATCAGTCATCCCTATTAAGATATCCTTTTACAACCTAGAAGTTACTTAAAAACATTTAAGTCTTTATTTTAAAGGATCTCTGAATTTACCATTGTTCAGCTTAATTTTAAAAAAGGTTAGTGTCCACTATTGATATTAGCATAGTCTCAACAATTTTATAATGAGAGATGATATAATTTAATGCTATGTAACATAGATGAGAATGATATTAACATAAAACATAAGAACATTCTGTGCCCTTTATTCAAATATACTGATAAAAAATTAACAAACATAATGAGACATAATTTTACATTCCTTTTTGAAGTCATGGCCAAACCAGGCAAACTAAAATTTTGAGGAAAATGTCTATACTGTATATTGATATATTTCCTTAGGTTTTTATACTATAAAAATGAATATCCATAAAGATCTTCAGATTGGAAAGGTAGCCAGAATTTAAATAGAATTCATCTATTCTTACATTGATTATTTAGTTCTTCTTACAATATCAAGGAGTCACTATAGTCAGAATTGAGCACGTGAAATATAGAAGTGCATCATTTGACTGGAACAGTATTCCTACTAACAGAAGCAATTAGATTTCTTCATTTTGGGATAATGATCCATATTCAGGAATATAGCATTTTTTTGGTATAAAGAAGAAAAATGACTCTGGGGAGAAATTTTAATGTCTTTCATTAGCAGTTTCTATTTTTCATTTTTAGTTCATGTTGTCTTGATAAAATAGCAATGTGGTGACAAGCTGAAGATTTATGATTAGAAAAAGAATTGAAGCAAAGCTTTGAATTGGTATATGTAACACTAATTTATAAACTGCTATAAATATTTTTAATTGAAACATTACCCACTGGAAAAATCTTGAGTCCTTTTAATTAGTCTAGTGGAAATATTTCCAGTCAAATCGTGTACTTCAGACCTACTATCTTGAAATATATTTCTAGATATTAGTTAAAATTTCTTAGAAATAGTTTGTATTCTTTGCTGGTATAGGGGAAAACCATAACAGACTATGGGTAAGATTTTCCCATTCTTAATTAAACTTATAACAGGAAAAACTACCGAAGATCTGTTTCAGCCTCTATCCTATATAAAACAGTCAAAACAGGGATGTGGGAGAAGGAAGAATCAAAGCTCAGGTAAGTAATCTGCAGGGAATGAGACTTCACCTTGGGTGTCATAGCTTCAGGATGCAAGGCAGTGAATGCACCTTAATTTATACACAGGGGTTTTATTGTTTAATTGGGTACATAGTAGGCTCACAGTCTTTGGAATCTGTTTTCATTTAGAGCACTGTTCAATGGTTCAAGTATACAGTAATGTGAGTTTTAATGTCTACATAGGACATAAGCATTCTTTTTTAAGGAAATAATATTTGTTAGCTTAATATATAAAAAATATATATAATATAATTGTTTTTCAAGACAGACTTTTAGAATAAAATGAAAACTTTGAAAATAATTGCTTCTTATTAATCTATGAAGATGTTTCTAAAGGTAAATGTTGGCAGATGTGAAATAAGTTTTGTGGTACCATTTTGATGGCAGTTTGATAATTCTGTTCCCTCTTTTTTGTGTCCCTACCCTTTTTTTTTGGCTAGGGCCCAATAGGTCAAAACTACAAGATATGCTTGCTAATTTGAGAGATGTTGATGAACTTCCTTCATTGCAGCCATCTGTGGGTTCACCTTCCAGACCTAGCAGCTCCAGGCTTCCTGAGCACGAAATTAATAGGGCAGATGAAGGCAAGTACTTGAGACACTCTGGAGCAAAGAAAGCACTTGGACATATATCTCTAAATTTAGTCATTATAGGGGCTGGGGATGTGGCTCAAGCGGTAGCGCGCTCGCCTAGTATGCATGCGGCCCGGGTTCGATCCTCAGCACCACATACAGACAAAAGATGTTGTGTCCACCAAATACTGAAAAATAAATATTGATAATTCTCTCTCTCTCCCTCTCTCTCTCCTCTCTCTCACTCTTTAAAAAAAACAAAAATAAAAAAATAAATTTAGTCATTATAAAAGATTGTCCTATCTTGGAACTTTACTTTTTGATCTATATAATGTTCACCAAATACAAGCTTTCTTACATTCAAGGGATGTTGATTTCAACTTCTATCTTTGGAGTTTAGGAAAGAGTGCATAATTTAAAAACCCACTCTAAATTCTGGTGTAGAATATCCTCCAGCTTCACAGACATGTAAAAAAGGCCCTTTATATACCATTCCAACACTGAGAAAATCGAGTCAAAAAAATAGGTAGTGAATGTTTACTTTGAGACTCATAAATATTTTATTGAGTATAATGATAAACAAAAAGGACAAAAAGTCACCTGAAAGCCTTGTCACATTTTCTCTTTTCATATTTCTCTTTTCATGTTTTCTTGTTCTCTTTCAGTCCTGGTTCACTTTTTATAGTTACTATATAGAACAATTCTAGTTTGTTTTATACTTAACATAAAAATACAAATAATTTCAAACTATAATACTCTATATTGTATTTTAGATGAGATGAAGCCATTTCCTTTTGAATATTTAGATTGTTTCCATTTTTATTTTACAGTATAATCCTGGGATATATAAATATAGTTCTTTGAGGTCTGGGGACATAGCTGAGTGGTAAAGCACTTGCCAATCATGTACAGGCCCTGGGTTTAATCTCCAGCACACACACACACATGAGATGTGTGTTCAATTGCTTATGACTGATGCTTCTTGGCCTCCCATCCACTTTCAGAAGAAGCTTCTGTAGCCTTTGTATATACTATGATTTTTTACTTTTTATTTATTTTTTTGACAGAACTGGAAATTGAACCTAGGGGTGCTTTACCATGAGCTATATCCCCTTTTTTATTTTAGATTTTTTTTATTTTGAAACAAGAGTCTCACTAAGTTACTTAGGGCCTCCCTGAATTGCTGAAGCTGTCCTTGAACTTGTGATCTTCTTGCCTTAGCTTCCTAACTCACTGGGATTGCAGGCATGCACCACTGCATCTAGCTTTAGTCATGAGGCTAGTGTCATGTTTAAGAGGCATGTTAAATAATTTTATAAAATCTAATTAGTAATGTTTGTGGCCTATAGGGGCCACAAATTTCTTTTTAAAGTAATTAATTAATAGAGGCTAGGGTTGTAGTTCAATGATAGAGCGCTTGCCTAGTATGTGTGAGGCACTGGGTTTGATTTTTAGTACTGCACATAAATAAATAATTTTTTTAAAAGGTCAATTCACTACTAAAATATTTATATGTATGCACATATATATATATATGTATATACATATTTAAAAAAAAGAAAGAATTGTGGCCTGTAGTCCTTTAAGTTCTGAGACCATAGAGAATAATCAAATAACAGTTATGCCATATTGCTGTGTCTTCAGTCCATAGGTTCAGTGTCTGGCTACTGGTATGTGAGGAAATCAATGTTGCCTTGTTCAGGTTTTACTTAACTAAATTGAGAGCATTAGTTAAAATTAGCTCACACAATGTGTATGGTCAATCCCAGGAATCTTAGAAATTTTTTGGAGTTGTTTTTATTTCATCTGAACAAAGTTATCTGGAAAGGTTAGAGATGAAAATAAAACAAAAACTTGGCTGGAGACAGCCTCATGGTCTCATATGAATCATTTTTTTGAATTTTTGGCCTGTAAACTACTATTCTCACTTAAACAATCCCACTCTGTATTAGAGTTGTTTGGATCCCTCAATGATGTATGATACTTCAGGTAAAACCCAATTTTTATTATTGCCGCTATATTGTATATTGGCTTGATAACATCTTTTTGTTTTGTTCTGACAAGAATTTTATGTAGAATATCTGTGACCGCTTTAAAAAAACAATTTTATTAAACAAATATTATTAGATATGACTGAATATAATGAAAAACATCTTGTAAATATATTTTTCTACATATACTAGTTAATAAAACTGACTTGTTTCTTTTAAGAAAAAGTTAATTTACCTCTTTAGCAAATAGTTTGAACTGAACTACTAAATTCATCTAATTAACTCATAAATGTTTGTCATCAGTAAAGGAACCATCTCTAGGAAACTATTCAAAGACTATCTCTGGCAGTTTGTCAGAATAATTTTTCTTTACGAAGTGACATTTTATTATTGACCAAATAAAAATCTATTTTAATTTAGCATTTTATAAAACTGGTTCTTCTATTATGGTTGTTGAAAGAATTAGATTGCTATGCCCAGAGTTATAAAGGAAATATTTTCAAGTTTTACAAAGTTATTCTGCATCTTGAAGCACAGTTGGCAGCAGTGAAAGTGTTCAAATGAACTTTAAAAAATTTCTTCGAAATGAAAATTTAAATGAAATACAATATACCCACAGAAAAGTGCTAAATAATAGGGTATATATAACTTAGTGAATTACCACAAAGTCAGAATTATCACCCACCCATGCTACCACCCCCAAGGTCAAGTACAACATTACCAAGCCATCCATGCCTTGCTTGTGTCCCTTCTAATCACAGCCCTTTTCCGCCTCTCAGAAGTGATCCTGACTTCTAATCCAACATATTAATTTTGCCTCAAATAAGCACATTTTACAATTTTAATCATTTTTACTTGAAAACATCTATAGTCTTCTAGGTTATATCAGTTTTTTTTTTAATGAGACCAGCAGTGTTCAGAACCAATTGTTATTATATGTTTAGTAATAGAAATTATTTGAGACATTAGCATGAAATATTGAATGGGAGAAACTTACTTTCCTTCTATCGTAGTATTATTCTATATAGTGAAAAGGAAAGAGTAGAGGTTTTTAGTGTTTCTTTTTCTTCTCACTTCAGTGGAAGCACTGACATTTCCTCCTTCTTCTGGGAAGTCATTCATCATGGGAGCAGATGAAGCCCTTGAAAGTGAACTAGGACTTGGAGAATTAGCTGGCCTTACAGTGGCCAATGAAGCAGATTCACTTGCTTATGATGTAAGTAGTTTTATTTTTGATGTTTTTACTCAGTTTTAGAAAATAGAAATTTAATTTTATAGGGGAAAAAATGTCAGTTGAAAAATTTCTTCACAAGTATAGACTTGGTTCAATTTTAAATGCAGACTTTGAAAAAAGATAAATATAAAATTAAGCCAGTATTTTTCCAAATAATCTAGAGATTAAAATTATACACTTTACCTAAATCCATAAATTAGTTGATTTGTATATTGGTTTTGGTTAGAGAAAGAGTTGCACAAGTTTGGGTTTTATTTTGTAAAAGTTGAAGGATAACAGGGGTTAGTTGAAATATGCCAACCTAAAACAACATTTTCCTTGTTTCTTAAATACATCAACCAGTATTCTGTTGAAATATGTTTTTAATTATTGGTAGTCAGAGATGTGTACTTCCAGATGTGAAGACTGATTGTCAGAGATTTGAACCAAACCTGAAACCTTGTATGTTTGTGCATGCATTTACTTAATTCCAAATGTTGTTTTATAAATGCATTTATATTGATTCACCACAGTAAATTTGTCAGAAGAATTATTGCTTGTTTCACAGGTAAAGTATTTATAAACTGTCTTAACCATTTCATTAAAATCTTTTCACTGAGAGCTTATTCTCTCTGCTGGAGAAGATAGTGTGACCCCTGTGGCCAATACTGGGTATGTAGAATGGATCCTCAAGTAAACCACAGGATGATAAAGAAGCACTCCTTGCCACACACTTCTCTTCCTACAAATCAAAACCTCCAACTCTCTTTATTAATTCCGTTAGTAAGTCTTTTGGGTTCTACCTCCAAACACAGCTGAAATCTATATATTTTTTCCACCTCCCATTCATGTCTATTTTTTGTTCCTTACCCAGAACTAGTACAGTATCCTAAACAAGTTTCTTCCATTCTTCTCCGCATGTGATACAATTTTTTTTAAAAAAGTTTTCTGTTTCCAGTGTTTTTATATTGTGTTTTACATTTATCTTTTTAAAACACCATTTAGTTGATTTTTTCTTTTTTCATGACAGCCTTTTTCTTTTCATTAGAGCATTCAGTCCATTTCTTTTTAAAGTAATTAATTGATATATTTGGTTTTAAATCTACTGTCTAACACCTGTTCTGTTCTCTTTACTCTTTCTATTTTTGCCTACTTAGGGGTTATGTTTTTATTATTGCAAGCCTCTGACCCTCTGTTATTTAGAGTTTACACAAGCTTTTGCTTTTCTTTCAATAGTTTCTTTAGAGATTACCATAAAATCCTTATTAAAATTTTATTTGTGAAGTCCCTAGAATACTTTTAACTCTATTTAACTCCATCACTATTTATCATCATTCTTGTTATATATTTCTAAATATATATCTTCTATAAGGTATCATTGTTTTTTTATACTTTATATTCAGTTAGGATTATCTGTTTTACATTTTGCTTTTTTTTCATTCTTTCTTGCATGTCTTACTGTCCACCTGGGATCACCCTAAGAACACTTTTAATACTTCTATTTAATGAGAGTATATAATTCTTTTAGTTTCTGGTTTTTCTTAAATTTCTTTGTTTAGCCTGAGTGGGTTAACTGTTATCTCATATTGAATTCTGGTTGGCAGAAGTTGTTATTGTTTTTTCCTTAACTTTAAACGTTATTTTATTGTCTTTTTATTTTTATTTTTTCTTACTAAAGTCAACTGTATCATTTCTGTTATTTGTCATTTAATGGTAGCCTGATTTCTTTGACTGATTTCATTTATGTCTGTTGTTAGGCAAGGTTTAGTTTTCTTCTTATTTAAATTTCTGAGGGCTCTTAGATCTTCATGGCTTGGTGTGTTGTCAGTAATTTTGTAAATTTCTCAGCCATTTCTTCTTATTATATGTTGTCTCCTCACTTTTTTAATATGCCTTATCTCATGTACATGGTTATTTTTATGTCCAAATAACTACATTTGAAAATTTTACTATAGAGATAACTTCAGACCTAAGATTATATCTTCCTCCATAAATATATTTTAATTTGCTTTTTTCAGATGTCTATAGCTATTAGACACTTGGAATCACATGTTCAATTTTTTGAGGAGTAGGAGTTCCAGGGATTGAACTCAGGGGCACTCAACCATTGAACCACATCCTTAGCCCTCTTGTATTTATTTAGAGACAGGGTCTCACCTTGCTTTTGCTGAGGCTGGATTTGAATTTGTGATCCACCTGCCTCAGCTTCCTGAGCCCCTGGGATTATAAGCATGTGCCACCATGCCCCACTCTACTTTTTATGTTCCAAAACCGATGTATGATCCCTGCAAGGGCTTAGCTTCTTCTATTCACCTTTATGTCTAGGATGCAGCCCTTTGAAATCATAACCCAAAACAAAGTGATTCATGAAGTTTCCCCTCTTGACAGGTCCTAGACACCAGTTCCTATCCCTATGCCAGTATGAGCCCATCAGAAGCACTATTTGGTCTCTCGGCCATCCCTTTTGGAATCAGTAAACACTTCTGGGGAAAAATAACCCAGATCGAGCTGACCTCCTTAGGCCTTGTCCTGTGTTCACCTACTAACCTGTACCTACCTTCATCCCTTGCGCCATGACAACTGGGTTTTTCTTCACATTTTTGTTGGTTATTCATTTTTGTTTGTTTAATATTTAGTTCAGCTTTTCTACTTGTCCTTAGTACAGGGCTAGTCCATATTCCCTAATTCATCATGGCTAGAAGTAGAACCTGACTTACGTTCCCTCTCTGCTAACCCCAAAAAGAGTCTATCCAGCATCTAGTGAAACTTGTTAGTCTTCTCTCTAATGTTAACAGGTTTATAGATAACTTAGTTTTCAACTATTACCATAAATTTTATTTTATATAATTTAGTTTAAGTGACTTGGTTTTAGAGTCATCCTAGTTGTGTTAGTAAGCTTTCTGTCATTGTGACAAAATGCCTGAGATTACCACTTATAAGAAAGGAAAGTTTATTTTGGCTTGTGATTTCAGATGTTTCTGTCCATGGTTAGTTGGTGGGTTGCTTTTAGGCCCCTTGTAAGGCAGTATATAATGATGGAAACTCTTTTTTTTTAATATTTATTTTTTAGTTGTAGTTGGACACAATACCTTTATATTATTTATTTTTATGTGGTGCTGAAGATTGAATCCAGGGCCTTGCACTTGCAAGGCGAGCACTCTACTGCTGAGCCATAACCCCAGCCCTGAGGGGAACTCTTGGCAATAAGGAAGTAAAAAGAAAATAAAGAGGAGCCAGGGTCCCAATATCTTCTTCAAGGCAACACTCCTAATAACCTAATTTCCTCCCACTAGGCCCCTTTCCTAAAGGTGCCACTGCCTCCCAATAGTGCCACAAGTTGCCCATCAAGCTTTCAACTTACAGGCCTTTGCGGGACATTCAGGATCCGAACGATAGCATTGTGTAGATCTGTTTTGCATTATTATTTGATCCGTTTTCATATGAAATTATATTAACTTTTTTATTTCAAGTTTCATGTTTCTTCAAAGTAATCCATTGTTTATATGTTGTTAATTTCGCCTGTTGGTTATTTACATTTAAAAATTATGGGTTTTTTTTGAAAGTTACATATTGTGATGGTTAATAACAAATCAGTAAGAGTTAATGTTAAAGGTAGTGTTTTTCCCCCTCCCTAACTAAATCTATAGATGTCTTTGTTTTCTTTCTTTAATAGATAGCAAACAATAAAGATGCACTGAGGAAGACTTGGAATCCTAAATTTACATTAAGAAGTCATTTTGATGGCATTCGAGCACTTGCTTTCCACCCCATTGAACCTGTTTTGATAACAGCATCAGAGGATCACACATTGAAAATGTGGAATTTGCAGAAAACAGCCCCAGCCAAAAAGTAAGAATATTCTACTTTAACTTTATGTTTTGGTTACACTTTTTAGCAGGAAAATATTTTTAAATTATTTGCTATTAAGTTTCCCAAATATCTCTTCTAGTTTTCTTTACCTCAACACATAATTGCCCTTTTATAAATCTCATGTTAGGTTGGAAAACTGATGTTTAAGAAAAAAGTTATTATTTATGGTTTACCCAGAGTTTATAAATGCTGATAATAGCCCTTATGTAGTGGTTGTCATAATTGGGAAGTCCCATGTCTCTACTGAAAATTTCTACTGTTTTGGTAAACAGGTATAGGTAGATATGTTTAAAATGATGAAACCTCTACGCTGCTCCATTGTTTACTAAGTTTGGACTTAATGGGATGGAGGAAAGGAAAGGCTAATGGGGTAGGGCACCTCTCTTTGGTCTTATTTTTTAGCCTTGAGTCTTTAAGTATTTTCCATACCAACCAATAATATGTCTAACTGAAAGACACTGTTGCCTTTACTTAGCAGCTAGTGTTTACATTGACCCTTTGGTTCTTAAGTGTCAACAGACGTGATTTAGCATAAACTTTTTTTTATCAAGTCCCAAGCTAGCCTTAATTCCACTTGGTCTGGTGCTTATTGGAGTTCTTTTCTTCCTTGGATCACACGGTACTGAGCTAGCTTGTGCCAACAAGGGCCCTTCTGCTGTGTCGGGCACTTTTAAAAGTGCAAATGAGCATCAAATGAAGGAGGCTATACAAATTTTATTAATGGTAGAGGAAATCTATTGCCCAGTTTAAAGGAGATCATTGGCAATCATGCTGAGAATCATACATAGGGTAGATAAAATACTTGATTTATCAGTCTGTAACAGATAGGTCAACCCGATCTTGGTATAACCAAATGCAACTTCTTATGGATTAGTTATTTTCCTGTTTATACATGTGCCTCTTGCCTTTTTAGTTATTTGGTCACAATGTGTTAGTTTTAGTTCTAGAACAATCATTGAGCAAGAGATGTGAATGTTTCATTATATATTCTTTACTGAAATTTAGAAATATATTGAAACAAGTTACTTGCTGGTAATAACCTAGTAACATCACATGAAAGTAGCAGTGACACGTTTGCTTTTGAACTTAAAACTTGGAAATGATTTGAAGACAGTGAATATATGCTTATATAAAGTACTATAAAATAATGTAGAAAATGGTAAATACTTGACTTTAAATCTAGTTGGCCTGTTAGGTAGTGTAGTGTAACCCATAGTGATATCCTTAGTACCTTAGTTATGAGCAAACTGATGACTTGGACAGTTTTTGTGGTATCAAGGATAGACCTTCATGGAATTACAAGGAAATTAAAAGTATCATTTGTTGAAATCCTGTTATACATTGTTGTAGTCCTTGACTATTTTAAACTTGTAGAATCCTTGAGTGTGGTGCTACCCCCATTTTTCTCTTATTTTAAATATAAAGGATTCTGAAGCACTGAAAGACTAAAATTGCTTATTTTCAGTTAGCTAGTTAATGACAGAACTAGCCCTTCCAATCCTATGTTGAATGACCTGAGTGAAGCAGTCTCTCCCTTAAGTCAAATAGATTACGGCAATGCTAAAAACATTGTAACCAAGTGTTATTAAACAAGGAGCTTGATACCACATGAAAGTGTGATTGAAGTTTTTTATGTATCCTGTGACTGAGAATGGTATATTACCATAGTGTCTGTACTATGATGTATTATAATAATATTATAACTCAATATACATCAGTATTATGATGTATATTGAGTTATACTTTTTACTACTGAAATTTAAAGTAGTTGAGTTTGTCTTCTCTCTCTCTGATTTAGGAGTACTTCTCTTGACGTAGAGCCTATCTATACTTTCAGGGCTCATAAGTAAGTATTTTTTTTCTTTATTTTAAATCAATGTATTTTGTAAAATTTATTTTTTAGTTTAGGTGGACACAGTATCTTTATTTTACATTTATGTGTTGAGGATCAAACCCAGTGCCTCGTGCACACTAGGCGAGCACTCTACCACTGAGCCACAACCCCAGCCCCTAAACCGATATTTTTTAAACAACTTGATTAGGTCTTTTTTTTTTTAACTTATGTATTTATTATGTAAGTTTCATATTTAGTAGTGGGTTTTTGGAATATAAAAGAAACTGACAGATAATATAATGCTAAAAACAAATTTATCACTACCAAGTAGGAATCCTTGCTGGATTTTTATTTGTGTGATGTTTAAATTATGTTTGTGTGAGAGAGAGAGAGCAAGCGAGAGAATGTGTGTGTGTATCAAGTTTTTTATTGTAAGCATATATATTTTCTTGTTTCCATCGAAGCACAAAGATTGGTGTATATTTTTTACATAAGGGATTATTTAATCAATTTTTTTTAGATTTTGCAGGCTACATAGTATCTGTATTTTTGTTTGTTTTTAATTTTTGTTTTATTTGTTTTGTTTGAAAATCAAACAAACGTTTTGGTAGCATTTGACCTGAGGACCATCATTTACCAACTTCTAATTTAGCAAAGGAAGAACAGTATTGATAGTATTTTCATTCATTATAAAAAGCAGAAAAATAGAAATCTATTTGAATAATTAATTAAGCATTTGTATTTTTAACAAATTATGCTCTAGAATTGATTTTTTTTTTTTTTAAGAGTAGCAGCTTATACTTACCTGTTTATTTACTTATATCCCAGAGGTCCAGTGCTTTGTGTAGTAATGAGCAGCAATGGCGAGCAGTGTTATAGTGGTGGTACTGACGGACTGATCCAGGGCTGGAATACCACTAATCCCAACATTGATCCCTATGACTCTTATGGTATGTGATTCAAGGTTCTGAAAGAACAAAATGTTTTCCTTTTAAACATTTTTACATCATTTATATATAAGGACAAAATTGGATATTTAAAAAAAATAATAGGTAAGACAGAAGTTTGTCTTTATTTTGTTTAAAATGCAAATTCCTACCTTTAGGAATCAATTTGATATATAATTCTAAAAGAAAAAAAGAAACATTTTTCATGAGAAAACAATTTTCATTCTCCCAGGGTCTTACTGATTAGAAATACTGACTTGATTGACAGTTGATGTCTTCATTTAGTCATCTGCCTGGTACTTAATTCATTGTTACTAATCTTTAATCATATTTCATCACTGTTGGTAAACGACTTTGAAGTAAAATGGATGTTGTCATTATCCCCTTGGTAAAATTATTGGAGGGATGTAGGAGCTAATAAGTTTTAAAGTCCATGCCACCAAAATATATAAGACTTAAAACTTTAGAAATGCCCTTTATTCTAAAGAATAGTATGATAAGTCATAAATATATGATAATCCATCACTAGATATCATCAGTTTTCTTGCAGAAACTCTTTAGAAATTGGCTGTTTTGGTTTTCGGTTAAGTTCTAGGATGGTTTAAAGTGTCATTTGTCAAAAAAGCATATTTGAATTTTATTATTACTTTAAATTAATTTACCAACAAACCTAGGTAAACATAACTGCAGTAAATAAAAATATTCTCCAACATTTATGTAATGAACATTAAACATATCTTATGAAAAGTAACCCCTCCCTTCCTGCAGTTCTCTTACACATTTATCTGTTCCATGTCTTTCCTTACCTTCTTTACCTCTCTCCCAGGGAATCAGCTGTTCCCCATTTTATTCTAGGCCAGTACTTCTCATTTTGCTCTTGACCTTATTCTTTCTACACTAGAAGGGACTGTACTTTAATCTCTGTGTCTCCTTTGGGACGGCACTCTAACCTCTTGATTTCCTCTTTCTCTGTCTTCTTAATTAAGCCTTACTCTGTTTTCTCTCTCTTCCTTCATCATATCAGGTATCTCCCATCCCAGACAAGATCTTTCCCTTATTTTTTTGATGGTATTGTCTAAAAAATATAATTACTAGTTACGAATGCTATGTCTTTGCCCTTTGCATCATCCCTCTGTATTCTGTCTTCTAGTTACATCACTTAAACATAACAAGATTGTTGGTGAGCTAATTGCCCAATCTAAGAGTATTTTTGATGTGGTTAATAATGTTAACAAGTCCATTTTTTTTTTGGAAATTTGTTATTTCATTGGCTTTTTGATAGTTTTTATGACGGTTTCTGTTCTCTATCCTTCATAAACTCCTTTTGTTTCTCATCTTAAATATTGGCATTTATGAAGACCCAGATGCTAAGTCATTCTTTGTAATATATATACATTCCTTTGGAAGTTAAACCTACTTTTTTTTTTTATTGGTTGTTCACAACATTACAAAGCTCTTGACATATCATATTTCATACATTAGATTGAAGTGGGTTATGAACTCCCAATT